CTGGTTGCAATCACTGGCGAAACGTCGTAGTCAAATTGTAAATGATGTGGGTTTACTCTCCAACACCACCGGTGTGCTGAAGTAGTAATTAATTGGCACGTTTTGTTCACGCGACAAACCCCACTGAATGGCTGCGTCGGATGGTGGCGGGTTTAGCGACACATTTACGTGATCTAATCCAAAAAAAACCTTGATGGATAATTTTGGTCACTAAAACCCTACTACCACTAATAACTACTACGTGTTAAACTCCTCAACCCGTTGTTTGGACCATGACCCTTGCTGCACCCTGGCCACACACGCGTGCGTGCACTCCGCCTGCCGGGTGGGTTATGGCAGGATGCAATTCTCCGATGCTGATATGGGCCGCTTGCTGAATGAAAGTTTGCCGTTGGCGGGATCGGGATGGCATGGGTGATTGGTAAACTCACGCGGCAATCCACAGCCCAGGTACTGACGCGTTGGAAGGTATGGAAGTTGTTCTGAAGCAGATCGTATGGTGTAACCCACGTGCCCAGCCAATGCATGGACAAACAGCTTCTGTTTGGTCAGATAAAGGGGGCTAGATGGGCTTGGCAGACGCTAGAGAAGAGATGGGCTGGACTTGGAGCTAAGTGGACTTGCTAAATGATTTGTACCAGTGGTGTCACGATGTGTCTGTGTGGCAGCGGCTCGTGAATTATTATATTTTGGCAGTTAGTGGCAGCTGCCCTCAGTTTTGTTGTTCGCTACCTGATGTACAGTTCAAGACTGTTTTGCATTTTTTTAAATTTCAACTCGTGTTTGGTTTTGGACCTTGCATCTGCACGCACAACAACGAGCGCTTCTTATCTTGATGCCCGCTAACAAGATAAGTGGCTAAATTAATCATTTTACTACTTGTTGAAGTAGGTGGATGCCGCCACTGTGGTGCAATGGTTAGCACACTGGACTTGCAATCCAAGAGGTCACAAGGTTGTTGGTTCGAACTCCTTGCGTGATGGGAACGTTACTTAAACCCCCACGCCTCTGTCCACCTAGCAGTATAATGGGAACACCGCTGTGAAGTCTATCGGCAGGTCATGTGTTGTGGGATAAAGTGTGGGGGAACACCCACCCCTTCCAAAACGTCGCCCGTGTGGAAGAGTAGGCCAGATTCCCTCTAGTGCGGCTTATTAATTGAAATGAAGTGGACAGAAATGTACAGTATTATTAAGCAATACAATTCAATAAGGCGCAATAAACAAGTAGGTGCTATGAAACTTATAACTTCTTCTTTGGTTCTTTCGGTAAAGTCACGTAGAATGAGAATAAAATAATAAATTGATAAAATAAAATAACGCAATAATATTCTCACGACGTTTTTTATTTACGTTATTTTATTCTCATTCTACGTGACTTTACCGAAAGAACCAAGGAAGATGAATCCTTGCAGTCACGAAAGCTTTAAATCGAAAATTAAACTTATAACTTGTAAGAAACTCATTTTCATATCGCACCTCTGATTAGCACAGTTAACTACGTACGGTCTGAAAGAAGTTCAACATACATATCGTGTAACTTTCCGTGGTGATTCCAATAATAAACAATTCTAATAATATTGTCTTTACATTTCAATCAGTGGTAGGACATAAAGTAATGAAGCCTGAGATGAAGGCCTCAGTGATGGCTGGTGTAAGGGAAGAGCGGATGCGGGGGGAGATTGCGTAGAGGAGGGCACGAGGCACTGTGGAAGTGAGGTACTCCGGGTTTTCCCTCTGCATCTAAATTAAACGTGCGTTTAGATTCATAATTCTTAACCTGGGGTGCACGCACCCCCTGGGGGTGCGAGATGCCCTTTCTGGGGGTGCAAGACATGACCAGATTTTTTCAGAAGATAAATCATCGAAACACAAATTAAGCGCGGGCATGTAAGTAGAGCGACTTTGTTTCACCAAACCTATGCATATATTAACATTATACATTTTTTGTTTTACGATTAAGAACGAAAGAGGTGCAAGGCTGCATTAAAGGTTAAGAACCACCGGTTTAGAGTATTCGTCTGCTATACATTTCCACGTGACGAGCCACTTGCTTGAGCTATCATTTGCAGTAGCCAGGTCGCGCTTCTGAAAAGGAGCTATACAGCTCAGTGGGGCCTTACCTGGTGAAAATTTTAAAAAATAGTTTAGTTTCGTAAAAGAACAGGGGTTTAAACGTCAATAAGGGCTCCAAGGTGTCTCACGCTGTGCCAGTCTAAGGTCAGAGTGTAGGAGGTGCACAATAAAACTGGAGTCTTTACCATGAGTGGGATTTTCATGAAAAAAAACGAAACATCGGGCTTTGGCTCTTCTCCTTGGCCATGGCCTATTGTTACCACTCCAATGGCTGCCTTGCCAACCTCTTCTGATTACTACCTCAACTCTTGCCTGCCGCATTCTGTTCAGAATTTCCCAGCTGCTTACCATGTTCCACGATGACATTTAGAAAATCCTCCGCATGCACGTTTACCCGTGAATCCAGTGTCTATGGAGATAACGGTTCGAGTCTCCTAGCTGTCTGGTTATTTCTGCATACTCTGCTTGTAAATACCAAAATAAATGCCGCTGTAAGCCTATGGCTAATTGTAATGATCACTTGTCCTGCAGGAGTGATGACCTAGGGAGGACGTCGCCACTGCATTAATCTCAGAAAGACCGAACCGAGAATCTCTAATTAACGTGGCATGTCTGTTGCAAGTGATCACGTAATGTCTCTGCCTCAGGACTGAGCTCGTTATAAAGCGACATTGAACCGGTTGGCTACATTTGCAACTGGTGACTTTGGATTATAATCACAAAGGGGGGGGTGGGGTTAAGATTTGGGTCCCCCCCCTACCTTGTAGATAAACAAACTTATCCGGTCTCCCAGCAACCCTCAGAAGGGCAGCCTCTGAAGCTGCTCTGCTCTATTCCTTTCACTCTCCCTGCCCTCCCGATGGCCCCGTCTCCTCACAAAGTCATCCAGAGAGGGCCAAGGGCCTCGCAATACCAGACTGCACAGTAGCAACTCTTGTTACCCTGGCACCCGCACGTGCTTCGGTGTGTTTATGCTCGAAAGGCGCTCGCCCGTCGACTACAGCGGCGTGCACACTGCTCCCCGTGGGAAACGAACGGCTTTCACAACTGTGTCAGTTGTGAAATTGAAAGGTCAACGTATGTTGAACTACTTTCGCATCGTATGTAGGCAACCGTGCTAATCGGGGGTGCGAGGGAATCCCAACAGTTGAAACACAAAAAGCAACCCGAAAAAAATGAGTTTTCAATCTATATGATGATTAAAAAGTGCATAGCTCCAGTGGCTTCCTGATATCGGAAGAGCGTTCCAGACGGCCGCATAAGCACATCTGAACACGTGCGATGCGGTGATTATCGTGTTTCTTCAATGGCGAGCCAAAATGACCGCAGTTCGTGTGATGGTTTATGTTCCTTGACGAGTTCAAACGTCTGTGTGCAGGCTTCGTACGTATGTTGAACTTCTTTCGCACCGTACGTAGCCAACCGTGCTAAGCGGGGAAAGGACAACAAACTACAGCAGTTATTAAACACTGATCCATGTGGGATTTTTTTTATAACATGAAATACCATCAGCAGGGCAGTGACATTGGCCGCATGCCGTTAAAAGCTCTGAGGAATTTAAATGCTTGTGTCATGGGTTCGTTTGAGGCGCACACTCAACTTGGAGGCAACACTTTATTAACACGTAACAACAACGTGAACACTATACATGAGGTGGTGACCACCGTTCCTAATTTAACTAACAACTCGGGAGGGAATATTGCATAACATGACCAGGGCAGGTTAACGGGCTGCCTGGTCACGGACGAAGATCGGAGACTCGAGGACCGCCGATGGCGTCTTCATCCCGGGGTTGAACAGCCCAGCTCTCTGTTCACACCCCGCTTATAACTGCTGCTGCTACGGCGTGGCCGGCCCCGCCCTAGGCCACGCCCCCCTTCCCGATCCTTCGAGAAGGCCCAGGCCCCTTACCACGTGACCACCAAGCTCCCCCATGGGGCCCCTAGCCCCCCCTTCGTCCGGTCACGTGTCCTGTCGGGGTCACGCAAGAGTGTCACGGCCTGTGACACCCCACCTGCAGTCGCCATAGAGAGGCAACACAGTAGTGACGTCATATGTCACTACGCTCGTACAGTCCCGACACAGTAGTGACGTCATGTCACTACACTTGTATAAAAATACCGTATAATCGAGATATCAGTTTTCAAAGATATCAAATTGCAGATTACTCTACGTTCTTCATAACTACTTTGTTTCCATTACAGCTGGCTTCCCATACTGGACTTGTTATTAAAGTCAAATCCACGTGTGTTTTTTAAGTACAGTATTCAAATGTAGGTTGAGAGGGTTTGTAGCAGCAGGAGGTGATAGCTAGGTATTGTCGCATCAGCAGTACGGGCCAAATCGAAATGACCACACGATCACTCTTCTTCTTGGGATATTACACCTTTCTTTTAAAGTGTTTTTAGTGCGTTAAGGTGAGAATCCATGGTGTCCAGGGGCCAGCTTTATGCCATACTGACAGTGAAGTCTACAGCCTTAGTTTTGAGCCCCACGTAGCAATGTATGCATGTTGAACTTCTTTTGCACGGTACGTAGCCAACCGTGCTAATTGGAGGTGCGGGGGTAGGCTAACAAACTAAACACGCAAAAAATATTTCTTACGAAACGAGTTTTCAGTTCCAATTGTGGATCCTGCAGCGCAAGGCCGGAGCCATGGAGTCAACAGAAGAAAAAAAAATCGAAATTTGAAATCGAATTTCCTGCCTAAAGTATAAAAAAATTTCACTAACACATAGGATTGACTTTTTATCTATTTTTTTACAATAATGTCTAATAGTGTATTGTATTACATTGCTCTGTTTTTTCTTTTTTGCCTTTTCTTGTTTCATTGTATGTAATGGCAGAGATTAGGGATTAATAAAGTACAACAATAACCACAATCATATAAACAGAAATGTATTTTATAGCAATATATTGGGGGGGGACATTTTGAGCATATTTGAATATGGGGGGGGGGGATGTGTCCCCCCCCAATATATATTTATAATTACGGCCTTGCTACAGTGGAAAATCTTGCTCATGTAGGCCAAGACCAGCTTTTAGTCCCAGGGTGTCCCAGAAAGGCATTTCTACAACATCAATTCCATAACTCGATTGGTGTTCTTGATGAACAACAGTCAGAAAGAAGCTGATACTTTCACAGGTTGTGACAATATTCCTCTTTTGCAATAGAATTCACGCTGGACGAAAGGTTGACATGTGCTGCATGAGTTCTGTATCTGAATGAGTACGCGGTGTGTTCAAAGGTCATTTTGATGAGCGCTACCCTCCGTTATAGCAACCGGGGCTTTGAGAAAGAAGCTGTTGAATTGCAGAAGTGTCTCGAACATTATCTATCCAATGATTGTCGACAAGCGGTAAAGTGGGGGTGCTCGCTGCATTCGCGAAGAGCCCAGGGAGAAATCCGAGTTCGCGAGGGGCTAATGCGTGCGGAGTACATAATGGTGGGCAATTTGAGCGATGCCACAAATGCAGCGGCGAGAAACGCAAGATTTTTCTTTTTGTAGGCTCCACAATGCGGACAATGCATTGTAAATTCAAGCAACAAAAAAAAACCCCTCTTAATGTTTCAAGCGTGTCGCATTCCTTGTTGAGATGCCGTGTCCCTTTAATTGCAACGTACAACGTAGCCCGCTCATTCCACCCAACATCCCTTTGGCTGCTGCCCATATGCTGCATGCCGCGTTGTTGATGCGGACGCTGCAACCGTTGCAGCCTTTGACCTTCACCGTCCTTGAGAAGCATTTCAATATGTATTTTTAGAGATGCTGTCGGTGACACGTATTCCTCCCCAAAGCAGTGCACGGGGGAAAAAAAAAATTAGAGGTTTACGGGAGCACGTCCTCTGGGAATGCAGAGAAGCAATGCTTTAGATGCTGCTGTTGTTACCCTATCCTCGATTAAGGGAATGCAAATAGGGAACCGTTTGGTGCATTATTTACAGCTTAACAAACCCATGTGTTTTTCAAGCATTACATATCGCTGAATATTGGAATGGTAATTGTGGTTAAATGTAATAGCCGCGTAACCAATTTAGATCGCAATCACCAAATAAATTGAAGTGAACCATGGTGAGGTCAAGCGAAGTGCATTTGGCTTCAGTGGAAGGCACTTCAAAGATCTACCCAGCAGTGAGTGGAACAGCGCTACGGACACACAGAATCGAGTTATATTCCCAGCCATGACCAACATCAGCGATGTATGATATCCGAACCGGTTCTGGGTTCTACCCCCTTTACCAACCGAAACTGACCAGCATGGTGAAGTATGGATGGTCAAGCAACCCCCATGATAAAGGGCTGTTTTATACCGTATAATTTACATTCGTGACTTTGTCCTTGAATTCCTTATTTTATAAATGCTCGTCAAGCAACTAATTAAAAGGTGGTTGGCTAAGTGGTAAACACCCAGTGGAAGGTGTAATGTGGTCCGTGTGGAAAAGTATTGATGCATTTTATATGCCGCATTGCCTTGCGTTTATCAACCTCAAATTATATATTTAATATAAGCATAAATGGTAAGAAACCCATCACCGAGCTTAATAGTTTTTTTTTAACTTTCAAATAAGAACATTGAAACTACAATATGCATCGTTGAGCTGAAATAAATTACAGTTTTGAATAACACTAAATATGAATGTACCTCAATGACTTGGACAGTTTTTTTCTTCTTCTCTGTAGTTGCTTTTCAACAAATTAGTTCTGAGTAACATATTCAGGCACACGTCAGAGGTGAAATGCAGGTCACAAGCAAAACAAATGTATAGTAAGTGGCCATAAGGACACCTGCGTTGCAAAACCGTGCCTCAACGAGTTAATATTGAAAATTAAACTTGCCATGGTGCTTTTTTTTATGAACCAGGGAGTGGTGTGACAGTCGGTCAGGTGGACAAACGAGGGCCAAATCCACATGAGAGAACTGAGCAGCAGCGCTGGGTGTGCGTCACCAGGCCACGGCCCGAGAGATCAGCCACCAGACTGACTCTGCCAAGCATTTTAAGACTGGGCCGAATCTACCTCGGATTGTTGTCCTTCCCCCACACCTCCGATAAGCACGGTTGGCTGCGTACGGTGCGAAAGAAGTTCAACATCCATACATGCCTGCAGTACATACGTTGTGACCGTGCTGCCTCCCACAATATTTCTAGGAAGGCCGGAGGGCTGGGGGGGGTGGGGGGCAAGGCACCGCCGTGCAAAGCCATTAAGCTGGTAAGATCGGTTGGCCTGTGAAGGTTGTTGACTTTGGAGAGCAATCTCACGTTCCAACAGTCTGGGCCAGACCAAGATCACCCAGATCTGCTGAGCTGGCATCGTTGAGATCCTGACAAGCGTCCGAGGTTCTACAAGTCTAGTGATTTGATGGTCTTGGCTAAGTCGCCAAAGACCGCACAATAAAACACCATATTACATTTGGATGCTCATAGAATGTGGCTTATTCTAGCTCTGAGAATTAACAAAAATGAATTTGACATGACAAATTCACACTTCCACACCTAAACAAAGTGACACAAACAATGTCACGTATTTGCAATTTTCTTTACTTTGCACATGTGGCTGGGTGATGCAGCTGTAGAGTGCATGGCTTGCAATAGATGAATTGTTTAGTTCAAATCCCAGTCAGGGTCGATTCACTCCTCCATCTCTCAAGGGTGAAGCAAACAAAACGGTACCGTCTTGTGGAGAAGTCACCAGTTTGTTTCGTACGGAAAGACCATTGGAACGTGGACTTCCCGTCGCTCAATTCAGTGGCAAACCGGCTTGAGTTTGTTACATTTGCCATTTATTGTGCCTCTGGCAACACTTTGGCAAAACTACCTTGGCAAGCCCTCACTCCCAGCCAAGTGACAACTCCAGTCACAGTTGGCGACAAGTGTTTGTGTCGCGACACGGGCGGGTCAGGCACGGACAGATTGCTTGGTATTTGCCATTGGCGCTCGGCAAATGCTCAGCACAAAAACATTCTGGCGCCGCCCTTTCAGTGCTGGGATAAATAAATGGACAGCCCATGAATTGCTCGCTCTGCCGCCACTGTTGGCCGAAGGTCCTCCACTAGAGGGAGCTCGAGAGGGTCCTTGTAGAGGGCATTTGAGGTATTTTTCTACGCTGGCCCGAGTGTGAGTGCCCACAGTTTGCGCCACGATTACACGATCTGTCAAGCGACTGACGTGGAAACCCATTTAAACACCTGGGTGGAAAGACGTGAGGAGGAGGGAAGATTTGAGAAACTTGCCCCACTGTTTGAGACACTACTGCGCAAGGAGGTCGAATCGAACCGGTGACCTCTGGATTGCAAGTGCAAACTATTATCACACCGTGGCAGCATCCCACTTGCAAATGTTCTTCTTCTCAGCGAGGTCGCCCTTACACAAGGTGGTCAACGATGTGTCGGGGGCAGCCTTGCTTACGAAAAAGCCCACGGACCTTAGGGGGGCTGTTGTTGTGGCCTCACTCTCGTTCATAGGGTACGCACTGAGTAACCAGTATAGTAGAAATCGATGTCTAGGCTGTAAATCCAGCTGCTGGCTTCAGAGGACGAGCGAATAACACTCGTGCCCTCGGAGATCCCTCGCAGCAGGCTTTTCCTTTGCCGTCCTATTTGGGTCCCGTAAACTCCGTGACTTTTCTGGAATGACGTCATTCCCCAGATTACTTCCAATCGGTCGAACGCGGGTTTTTTTCGCTTTATTTTTACATTGTGGAATATGCTAGAAAATGTATAAATAATGCTGTGGAAATTAAATATTTATCAGGAGCCTTGAATAGGAAATAATGATTGCTTCGCAAATCACGTCGTTTTGAAATGTTTTGTTCAAGGTTTTTTCTTTTTCACATTAAGTAACCATTTAACTATTAACAATAGCGACCGAGTGACAAATGATGGCTCAACGAAGTGGCTTATTGCGTGGAAGTGTATTTGCAGCCAAGTGCTCAAAACGCATGTTTCTAAATGTGGAGTGAAAAACCAGAGAACCTAGAATAAAAATCATGCAAAATCAAAATACGCGTCAGGGTCGGGATCAAACCCACGACCTCCTGTATACCAGGCGAGGTCCTAACATCTCAACACCATGGCGCCCTATGCATCACTGTCTGCTAGAGCTGCACAAGCGATGCAGCCCCACCACCACCTTCAAGCCAATCGGTCATGGCAGCCTGCGATGGTGTGGGGAACAGTGGCGCAGCAGTTCGCGCGCCGCCCGATGATCCCAGCGACCCCAGTCCCGATTCCCTGCCGCAGCTGAGATGAGTGCCCAGCGGTATGTGGAGCGGCCGTGGGCACCCCAGCGTGGTGAAGTATGGTCAAACAAACCCTGTGACTGACACAGCATTGGGGGGGGGGGGGGTGGGGGAGGGGGGACGCTTCATCCAGTAGTGAAATCACATTGATTGGAGCCAGACATATTTTCACGTGTGTAAACTTCACTGGCTTAGCTGAGATGGCCAAGTGGACAACGCACACACAAACCATTCATGATCGTCATTGGGTCTGTCCACTGCAGGGCTCAATCCCACACACTCGGGTACCACGCGAGACCCTGTTGCAGCGCATGACATTCCCGAGTCCACTGGCTACTTGCATTGCTTGAGACACCGTTGGCCTCATTCATTGCTTGGGATTATGGAACTTTCATTTCCAGTGGTCACGAAGTTGCAGCCCCTCATGATAAACTGCCAAATTCCAACGGGGAAAAGCATTCCGCGGTTTGTTGTCACCTGACGCACAAGGCCAATATCTCGCACAGCGTGGAACAAAAGTGATCACTCTTTTCATGACTGCAGTGCGGATTAAATGTTTGAATGCAAAATGAAAATTAAGACGGAGGAATAAATATAACTCACCACCTTCTCCACTAACACTGCCTTATAACGATGAAGTGTAATCTACAACTATAAGTCCATCTGGTTTCAAGCCGCTCTGAATAAGGGCCATTACCCAAAAGGTTTAGCTCTTACATCTTCTGTCCATCCTAAGAGTCAAGAATGAAGGTGGCGAGTCTTTAGAATTTGTTCTTTTCCTAAAATGCGTTTTCGTTAAAGACAAATGCCCGTCTGTACATTTATGAAAATTTATCCAAATACAGGACAATCGTGCTCATAGCGGCTTTGTCGAGCGAATGTTTTGGCTCTGCGCGGTTTACCCAATGAAGTCTGCCTTGTCTCGGCTGTACGCGGTTCGACGCGGCTGAGCTTCTCATCTCCGCGTTGAATAGTGCCGTGAGAGTGCTGCATCCGCTGGAAGGTGCGAATGAGTCGACTGTGAGAACGATTTATTTACCATCTCGCTGTCTCGTCGTTGAGGATGTCAGTTAGACGGACGCCTAGATGGCAAATCGTCAACACGGACAACGACACAATTTAAATGATAAAGACCCCCCCATATAGGCCTTAACAGGCTTTAAGGGCAAGTGCTGTTCGTGAACACCTACGAAGGCCAGACCGAGGTGGTGGCCAACAGCACGCCCGGCAGCCTTTGTCTCCCTGGTGGAGATGTTTACACACCGCGCACCCGGTACTAATTTGAGGCCGAGTCGCCCTAGGCGAGGCCCAGGGCTGGTTCAAATAATCGTCACTGGTGTTGGCCGTGAGCGGGAATCTAACTCTGGTGTGCGGGTTCATAGCGCAACGCGCTAACCGCTACACTGCCACTCCGCACCACACATTGACACAACAATAAAGATTCCCCGTATAGCCTGTAACAGACTGTTGGGAGTAAGTGCTGTTAGCGAGTAGCACCTATGAAGGCCAGCACGGCACACGAGGTGGTGGATGGCCAGCACCAACCCACTCTGACACACACACACACAACACATTGCCACATGTATCTAGCATGTCCACTCATTGAGGCCGTTAGATGGCGAATTATGAACGGTTCACGTGTCCGGCCGGACACGCAGCGTCAAATGGTGACGCAGTGGCAGACAATTGGATGCCGAGAGATGGCGGTGGCTTGGGAAAGCCTTCGTCCAGCCGGTGGATTGATTCGCGGCTGAGCATGATGACAGCAGCGTCATCGGCGCGCGTGTTGCGCACGGGTGAAGAGAGCCCGTATAGGAGGCGCCGTACGTGCAGCAGGTAGGTTTTACAAGTGCTGGCGACCTTCACGGCGACATACGTGTAACGCCCTGCGTCTCATCAGGCCACGGAAACACACGGTCAAATTGCCCCATCCCTCCCTCCCTCCCGCTAGGCGTGAGTCTTCACTCGCATCCCTGTCACAGACACACACGCGAGACGCATCCACACACACGGGACCCCACACGCAATGACAGGCATCCACACACCCGCTGACACGCACGAGATGAATGCAATGACACACATTGACAAAGATACTCTGTGTAGCCTTAACAGACTTTTGGGGCAAGTGCTGTTAGCGAGCGCCTATGAAGGTTGGCACGGCATACAAGGGGGTGGGTAGCCAGCACTACGCCCGACCGCCTTTGTCTCCCCAGTGGCGATGTTTACACACCACACCATGTACTTATTTGAGGCTGAGTCGACCTTGGGGAGGCCCATGTCCGGTTTAGATAAGCGTCACTGGTGGTGGCCAAACTTAGGCGGGTCGCTGGGTTCATAGCACAACGCGCGAACCGCTACGCTTCACACTGACACACCCACACATCAACACACACACACACATCAACACACCCACTGACACACACATCAACACACCCACTGACACACCCACACATCAACACACCCACTGACACACCCACACATCAACACACCCACTGACACACATCAACACACCCACTGACACACCCACACATCAACACACACACACATCAACACACCCACTGACACACCCACATATCAACACACCCACTGACACACGCATCAACACACCCACACATCAACACACCCACACATCAACACACCCACTGACACACATCAACACACCCACTGACGCATCAACACACCCACTGACACACACATCAACACTCCCACTGACACATCAACACATCCACTGACACACATCAACACACCCAATGACACACATCAACACACCCACTGACACACACATCAACACACGCACATCAACACACCCACTGACACACATCAACACACCCACTGACACATCAACACACCCACTGACACACATCAACACATCCACTGACACACATCAACACACCCACTGACACACATCAACACACCCACTGACACACACATCAACACACCCACTGACACACACATCAACACACCCACTTACACACAAATCAACACACCCACTGACACACACAACACATCCACTGACACACAAATCAACACACCCACTGACACACACATCAACACACCCACTGACACACATCAACACACCCACTGACACATCAACACACCCACTGACACATCAACAAACCCACTGACACACATCAACACACCCACTGACACATCAACAAACCCACTGACACACATCAACACATCCACTGACACACACATCAACACACCCACTGACACACATCAACACACCCACTGACACACAAATCAACACACCCACTGACACACACATCAACACACCCACTGACACACATCAACACACCCACTGACACACAAATCAACACACCCACTGACACACACATCAACACACCCACTGACACACACACACACACATCAACACACCCACTGACACACATAAACACACCGACTGACACACCCACACATCAACACACCCACTGACACACATCAACACACCCATCAACACACCCACTGACACATCAACACACCCACGGACACACACATCAACACACCCACGGGCACACATCAACAATAACAACCGCCATTCGCCACTAAGTGGCGGTGACGTCACCACGGTGCTTGTGCCAGGCTATGTGCACCCTAAGGCCACGTGAAGTGTCGAACGCCCGTTGGCAGGAGGTCACGGGGCAGACCCAGGTGCCACGGGTCGACTGAGATGACTGGCTGATGCACCACCTGTGCCCCCTACTGTGCCAACCTGCTGTGCTTTAGCCACCCGGCGCTCCGCTCGTTGTTCTGAGCGTCGCTCCTCCGCCCTCCGTTGTTGTTGGAGGGTGACTACCTCCAACTGCCCAGTAGCATCCTTCACGAGCCTCCTCCACAGAGGCCGATCTTTACACCGCTGGTACCAGTCATCGGCAAGTCCACTCAGCTCCACGTCCTCCTGTACCACATCACTCCATCTCTTCTCTAGCCCGTGCTGCGCCCGCTTAGCCCCCTCAATCCGGCCGAACAAAAGCTGTTTCGGCATGCGGTGGCTGGGCATGCGGGCTACATGACCCAGCCATCGCAGCCTTGCCCGCCGGAGGAGCTCACCGATGGGACCTTGCCCAGATCTTTCAAGGATTTGTGAGCTCCTCACACAATCCAGTCTGGTTAAACCCAGGATGGATCGTAGGCAGGCCAGCCTAAATGTTTCTAACCGGCGAAGATGTTCCATTAGGGGGGTCCACGTTTCGCAAGCATAGAGAAGGGAGGGAATGACCGTGGCCGAGAAGACCTGAGCGACAGACCAGGTAGCTTCCACACAGCGTTACGCAACCGATGAAAAGATATTGCCGCTCGACTGATTCGGAGTGAGACCTCTGCTGTTAAACTGGAGCCAGTCATAAGCACACTGCCCAGGTATGGGAAACTCTCCACTCTCTCCACAACTGCCCCATCACCGATTGGGAGTTGTGGGGGTGGAGTGTCCGATGCTACAAAATACCCAGGCAGGTGCTTAGTTTTGGTGGGGCTGATGGTAAGGCCCCACCTCTTAGTGGCACGCTCCAGTCTCAGCAGCAGCGTCTCCAACTCCTCCTCTGACTGAGCAGCTATTACCAAATCATCAGCATACATAACGTGGTTGAGCAATACAACACACCCACTGACACACACACATCAACACACCCACGGACACACACACATCAACACACCCACTGACACACATAAACACACCGACTGACACACCCACACATCAACACACCCACTGACACACATCAACACACCCACGGACACACATCAACACACCCACGGACACACACATCAACACACCCACGGGCACACATCAACACACCCACTGACACACACACATCAACACACCCACGGACACACACACATCAACACACCCACTGACACACATAAACACACCGACTGACACACCCACACATCAACACACCCACTGACACCCATCAACACATCCACTGGCACACACATCAACACACCCACGGGACACACATCAACACACCCACGGACACACACATCAACACACCCACGGGCACACATCACACATCAACACACCCACGGACACACACACATCAACACACCCACGGACACACACACATCAACACACCCACTGACACAACACCTACCGACACACATCAACACACTGACACACACGAGGCACATGCAATGACACACATTGACACAAAGACACACACACACCAGGCAGGACACACGCCAACACACCTCGACACGCGCGTAGAGATAAAGATACTGACCCACACACAACCTCACAGAGGTCACGCAGACCGAGTTCCCAATTAGAAGTTAAGAATAATTAGCCCAATTACTGTCCAGCGTGCAGATAAATCACATTCAACTCGGCGTGGACAAAATACGTGCGGCTTTAATGCGGGTCGTGGCTCGGATACTTATATTTATAGGAAGTATACATATTTTTAATCCGTGATAATTATTTTAACTGAATACCACCCTCGCGCAAACACTTCATTGAGTCACGCAAGCGGCGAGCTGTAAAGCAAAGATATCCCAACACGCTTAACACGTAGGATTTCGGGACCAATATCCATAATACAGTTTTTTTTTGGGTTATATCGCGTAACAATATAAGTGCGTCATTAAACCCGCCACCACCCGAAACAGCCAATTAGTAAGGTTTGCCACGTAAACAACACGCCAATTATTTTACTAGTGTAGAGACACAGCGCCGACTGCTGTGCAGCAGCAGCAGCAGCAACTGCGGTGGACACTTGGCACACACGCCGCCGAGCACGTACAGGGCGTGTGTGCCGGCAGGGCGGAGGAACCGGGGCAAGGGTCACGGTAGACCTCGTGGGGAGGCCCCTGGAACCCTCTGGATTGGTCTAGAAGGGAGGCGCGGCTAGGGCGGTTCCAAGCCGCGCCGAGGAGAATAAAAGCAGCGGAGAGCGGGGAGCTCCGGGCTGCCGGTTCCGGGAGTGGACTCGTCTCGTCGTCGCCGCTGCCGCCTCCGCCCGATCATCGCGCGGCCGGACAGCGGTTGGCTGTCTCGGTCGACGCCGTCGGTGCAACGCGGACAGGGTCGTGTCTGGGACAGGCCGTACGGCAGCGTGGTCGTGAGACAGGAGGCCAGAGTTGGTGGTGTGAACGAGAGATAATAAAGAGAGACAGTGCCTCCTGCAACTACCTCGTCTCCGACTGAGTGTGTGTGCCGCACGCACACACACGCCAGGAGGAAGGAGGACACTACACTAGTACAGCACACCGGTGTGTTGGGAGAGTAAATCCACAACATCTACAATCGATTGTAAACAATCTATTGTAATTGTTGTGGTGTGCTCTACTAGTGTAGAGTAGTAGTAAGGGGACGTGACATCATACGCGCTGTGCGGTAAGATGACGTCATGTCTCCTCGTGACGGAAGCGCGGTCGTTGTGGGAGCCCGGGATGGAGAGAGCGGTTGAAGAGACAGCCATGGGGTAGAGCTCCGGGAGTCTGGAGAGAAGCCGGCGGTAGTCGTGGAAGGTGCTGCTCTCCCCGGTCGGTCGGTGTTGGCTGAACCCCCGATCCGACTCGAGGAAGAGAGCCCAAGAGCTAGCCGAGGCTAGGTACAGACAGAGCCGAGGGTCCACGTGAAGGACCCAGTGTAGGCCACCTGCCCCTGGTGAAAGTTATCAAGAACCCTTATTAACAAACCGGCGCAAGCCCTTACGTGAAGACCTGCCTCCGTGTCGCCATGAAGCACACAACCACTAGTAACAAACTGCCACGTTCTGTTTACGTGACCAACCTTACAAATTGGCTGTGTCGGGTGGTGGCGGGTTTAACGACACGCGATCTAACCCAAATAAACTTCTATTATGGATATAGCAACACGCTTGTAGGACTGGCTGGGACCAGCCCACAAAGATCCCCCGTGTAGCCTGTAACAGACTGTTGGGGCAAGTGATGTTAGCGAGCACCTATAAAGGTCGGCACGGCACACGAAGGGGTGGGTGACCAGCACCACGCCCGGCCGCCTTTGTCTCCTCATTGGAGAGGTTTTACACATCGGACCAAGGTAGTAATTTGAGGCTGCGTCGACCTAGGGGAGGCCCAGGACCGATTCAGATAATCGTCACTGGTGTTGGCCGTGAGCAGGAATCGAACTCGGGTCGCCGGGTTCGTAGCGCAGCGCGCTAACCGCTACACCACCACTCCCCATGGACACACATGCTCACACTCGCACGGTGTGAGCGTGCTCACACTCGCACGGTGTGAGCACGTGCTCACACTCGCACGGTGTGAGCACGTGCTCACACTCGCACGGTGTGAGCACGTGCTCACACTCGCACTGCCACCTGCAGCGCGTGCGCTCAGCAGCGATGACCTCGACGCCTGCCCGTGTCCGGGTTGCAGCAACTCTCGCATCCGTTCTGTACAACGACTGCGTCACAGCACTGTAGGTGACACGCCACGCCGTAGACTACACACCACAGACTGTAGACTACACACCACAGACTGTAGACTACACACCACGCCGTAGACTACACACCACAGACTGTAGACTACACACCACAGACTGTAGACTACACACCACAGACTGTAGACTACAACACCACAGACTGTAGGTGACACACCACAGACTGTAGACTACACACCACAGACTGTAGACTACACACCACAGACTGTAGGTGACACACCACAGACTGTAGCCTACACACCACAGACTGTAGCCTACACACCACAGACTGTAGCCTACACACCACAGACTGTAGACTACACACCACAGACTGTATACTACACACCACAGACTGTAGGTGACACACCACAGACTGTAGCCTACACACCACAGACTGTAGCCTACACACCACAGACTGTAGCCTACACACCACAGACTGTATACTACACACCACAGACTGTAGCCTACACACCACAGACTGTAGCCTACACACCACGCTGTGACACACCACGCTGTAGACTACACCACACTGTGACACACCACGCTGTAGCCTACACACCACGCTGTGACGCACCACGCTGTAAACATCACCCACGTTGTTACACGTGGTCACCCCCCACGCTGTATAACAACCCCAATGCTGTATGTAGCTACACCCGTGAACAACAGCGCAGCACATCGCCCCGCACCCCACGGCCGTCCCCACTCTACACACCACCCCCACTCTACACACCACTCTACACACCACCCCCCCTCTACACACCACCCCCACTCTACACACCACCCCCACTCTACACACCACCCCCACTCTACACGCCACCCCCACTCTACACACCACACCACTCTACACACCACCCCCACTCTACACACCGCCCCCACTCTACACACCACCCCCACTCTACACACCGCCCCCACTCTACACACCACCCCCACTCTACACACCACCCCCACTCTACACACCACCCCCACTCTACACACCACCCCCCACTCTACACACCACCCCCACTCTACACACCACCCCCACTCTACACACCACCCCCCACTCTACACACCACCCCCACTCTACACACCACCCCCACTCTACACACCACCCCCACTCTACACACCACCCCCCACTCTACACACCACCCCCACTCTACACACCACCCCCACTCTACACACCACCCCCCACTCTACACACCACCCCCACTCTACACGCCGCCCTCGCGCCGAGCGCGGTGCGCAAGGAGCCCGTGGGGGTCTCGCCGCGCCCTCGAATAACCCCGGCGGTGGGGGTGTGTGGGGGTGTGTGTGGGGGTGTGTGTGGGGGGGGGTGTGTGGGGGGGGGTGTGTGGGGGGGGTGTGTGGCGGGGTGTGGCGGGGAGCGGCAACACCGCGGGGCGAGAGAAGTTTGGTCTGGGGCCCCGTCCATTGAGTCGGTACGCGCACGAAACGTTGTTGTCAACACGTGACCACCACCCCTCTCTCTCTCTCTCCCTGCACGCGAACTCTTTACACCACCCCCTCCCCCCCCATCTGCGTACGTACGATTAACACAACTCCCCCTCCAAATCCTATAGAACGGCCGACATTTAATCCACGCAGAAACGATTAAGGATTAATAATATTAACGCGTTAAGCTAACAGTCCACCGCCGGCTGCATTATTATTATCGAGGCTTCACCACCCCCCCCCCCCCCCCCGTTTGCAATACGTGCATTGTCAGTAGACCCCCCCCCACCATACGCAAGCGAACACATTTGGGTGAACCCCCCTCCCCCCTACTCCATGCGTACTCAATGGATGACCTCTTTATCGACCGCGATGAGCGAGTTGTCGTGAGCGTTGTAGCCTCGTGTTGTGGTGGTGGTTGCAGCAACAACATGGTCAACCCGTGCTACGCAGGACCACAATCGCGCGAGACGCCTCCACCAGCATCACCACGACGATGAACTAACACGTGGCTCTTGACACGTGTTAGTTCATCACCACGATGATGAACTAACACGTGGCTCTTGACACGTGTTAGTTCATCACCACGACGATGAACTAACACATGGCTCTTGACACGTGTTAGTTCATCACCACGACGATGAACTAACACGTGGCTCTTGACACGTGTTAGTTCATCACCACGATGATGAACTAACACGTGGCTCTTGACACGTGTTAGTTCATCACCACGATGATGAACTAACACGTGGCTCTTGACACGTGCTGTTAGCGGAGCACGCATGAACGCCAACACGGCATACGGGCAGCTGAACCACGCCCGGCCGCCTTTGTCTCTCCCCTAACCACCCCACGGGTAGACTTAGTGGGGTTGGCCCAGGAGCGACGTTCCGCTGTTCGCCACTGATGTTGGTTGCGAGTTAGGGGACTCGAACGTCGGGGTCGTGTCGCAGTGCGCTAATCGCACCACGCTACCGACAAAAGCTTAAAAAAAAATACAGACCCTCCCCCCTTCCCACGTATCGCCTTTAACACATTGTTGGGGCAGTGATGTTAGCAGGTAGCACCTGTGAAGGCCGGCACGGCACACGATGGGGTGGTGGGTGGTCAACACCACGCCCGGCCGCCTTTGTCTCCCCAGTGGCGGCGATGTTTACACACATCTCACCGGGTACTCATTTGAGGCTGAGTCGACCTAGGGGAACGCGCAGCACTGGTTCAGATAATCGTCACTGGCGTTGACCGTGAGCGGGAATCCGAACCCGTGTCGCCAGGTTCTTAGCGCAGCGCGCTAACCGCTGCACTACCGCTTCCCGTACAACAGTAAACACACAGGCACACAAACACACACCACAGGCACACACACACAAACACACCACAGGCACACACACAAACACGCACCACAGGCACACACACGCAAACACGCACCACAGGCACACACACACGCGCACACCACAGGCACGGGTGGAGCGTGGTGGTGGTGTGCACAGGAGTGCACGCACCACAGGCACACAAACACACGCACACACACACGCACCACAGGCACACAAACACACACACAAACACACGCACCACAGGCACACAAACACACGCACACACACACGCGCACACCACAGGCACGGGTGGTGGTGGTGTGCACAGGAGTGCACGCACCACGCATTGGCGGTTAGCGGACGCCACCCCCCCCCCCCCCTTTGTGCTGCTGCTTGCGGGATGTGTGGCCACTATGTGCGGTCTGCACCGCCGTGCCCGATCCTTCTAGAACATTCGACTCGGTATTTCCGCTGCCGGCTTTGTATAGAGACGGGGGGGGGGGGTGCTGGTGGTGGGGGCTATGTGTGTATGAGGATGTGTACGTGTAAGCTTGCGCGTCGTGCGCACAAAATATATACATAGCATAACGCGTGCGAGTATACTAAACGCGTGTGTGTGCGCGTGCACGATGCCACGTATACCTGTGCAAGTCAGTCCCGTTTGTCAATCCACCGCTGGATGAACCGTCCTGGGCACCTCGTGTGTCGTGCGACGGCTTGCGCGGACCATACGTCGAACCCACCATACAGCTTAGCCCACGCCGACGTGTGCATGTTTGTGGGGGAGGCGTTGAGAGCCTACGAGGGTATCAAGCCTCCCCGCACTCCTGATGTGTTGTGAGCCGTGGGCTTCACCACTGCGCCACCTCCATTCCGCCGCTGTAAATGCACGCGTGCGTGCGTTCGCGCGCGCAGGTGCGCAAGGCAGAGAGAGAGAGAGAGCGCGCGTGGCATGGTGATGGGCGAACCGATTGATATTCGGTACCCGCAAAAAAACATAATAATAATAATCAATAAAACATCGCATTTAATGGCACGGCCGGTACGAATACACAACGTTTGGCACCGATCCCACCTTCGATGATCTCGGCCCGACAACGCGAGAGAGTAAACCTGTTGGGAGCAACGGGGCACGCGCCGACGAGACCCGCGTTAGCCGCGCGCAAGTTCGGAACGCGACCGCGCCGTGCCAAATAGGCGCTCGCAAACTAACGCGGGTGGCGGCGGCGGGGGGGGGGGGAGAAGTCATCGCGCCGCGTGTTAACTACCGCGTTTTATTGCGCGCAAATCCCGACCACGTATGCAACAGGCTACACACACACACGCGCGTGCGTGTGCACGGGTGCGTGCGTGCGGTTGGTGGGGCGATGTCATCGTTTCTACTGGATAGTTCCATTACCCCCACCGCCATCCCATATTCACTTGTTGACGCCGGAGTGAAGCAGGCAGGCAACGGAGGTGGTGGTGGGGGGGGACGCTGGGCATGGCTGCAATGCAGGGCAGGGCTAGCTGGGCTGTGTAGAGGGAGATTGCGGGGAGGAGCTCATCTGGTTCGTACTGGCTGGAGCTGGAACTCGCCTATATAAGTGAGCGTGGCGAGTTAGCATCGCTACGCACTTCCAAACCACTCGCTCCGTTCAATACCTCGTGTCCTGTCTACTACTGCTGCTGCTGCGCGAAAGCCGACTTCGACGTCAAAGCCAACCTACGCATCGACAGACAATGTCTGGGAAAGGTGATTATCTCTCTCTCTCTATATATCTCGTTTATGAATTCTCGGCACAGCGCATGCTGCACGTTCGCAATAAAGCGATGTCACCGCCGCATGTCAATGCGACGACGCTGTGCAATTTACGGCGCTGTGCAATTGCGTTGCGAACGAGGGGGCTCCTCCGCGTGGCCAATTTCTCGGTTGCTGTGAGGGATCCCTCATTAACCACGCATCGGAAACAATGCACGGCGGGGGGTTTTGTTATTGTTCAGATGCGCAACCGCCTCTGAAGGTCGTAGTCTGGGCTGCCGCGTTCGCCTACCGAGAGCAATATTTGCAATGGGTGGAAATGCACCGATCATGTACGTTTTCAGAGATGCATCTATATCTCTCTCATGTCTATGCATACATTTGCGTGCGTGTTCAGGTACTGCCCCGAAGAAGGGAACCGACAAGGCTGCCGCCGTGACGACAAAGGAGCCAGCGAAGGAGGGAGAGAAGAAAAAGGAAGGAGCGAAGAAGGAGGGTCCGTTACGACAATAATTCTCACACGGGACATGCGCTCCGCCAACAACAACAACGCCATTGCAGCGCATCGTGCACGTTACGCAGCGCCCGTTGTTGCAGCCAGTGAAATTAAATGTTGTTGCGTGTTGAAAGTCCCCTGTGCTGTGCACGGAGAAGGGGGCCCCGTTAATAACCTTTTTGTGTGTGTGTGTGACTGCCGATTTTCTTTTGGCTCGTAGGAGGAAAGAAGAAGTGATGTGGCGCACGTTGCAAAAGGAGAATCCGGCGGGGAGATGAGGAGGAGTTGGATGCGCGCCGTGGTGTATTTTGTTGAGCGCGCCTGTGGATAGTTCTACTACAGTCGAACACGTTCGTGGTTGTATTTGTGCTGTGTAAATATTGAAGGGCTTTGACACCCCAATCATTCCTACTTAACAAGAGATGTACTCTGCGTTGGGTTTGTAATAAAAACAACTGAATGGAATCCCATATTTACGTGTTTTTTTTGTTTGTTCGCGCGCGTTCACAACTCGAGAGGTTTACTACTCACGGAATATTTTAGTAGGTCAAAGCAACACAATACGACCGGGACCGAGTTCGATTCCTGCTCACGGCCAACACCAATAGCATGGAAATGATTTGTCCGGCCAAGTGGCTCAGTGGGAGAGGAAGCAACTCCAATCGATAATGAGAGTCACATATCCTGTTTGGGGATTTTCCTCATCCCATCCCTCTTTCAACCCCCCGGGTCGATAAAATGGGTACCACTGTGGGAAGCCAACGATGCTATGGAAAAGACTCCCCCCTAACGAACGTGGCATTTCCACCACTGCCTCGGAACTGCAAAGAGCATTGCCTCGACGCTCATTTGGATCAGAAAATGGCAATGACCTTAGGGTGGGGTTGTTTATAGCCTTAATCAAACAGTGGTAATTCCACATTCCTATGGATGTCAACCCACAGGGGCCATGCATGGCGGTGAGTGGCCGGGCTTGGCTGTTAAGAGCCAAGCGTGGCCGAGTCCCACATGCGAAACAAACAAAAAAACCCATACCCGCACATTTGAAAGATTATGCATTCTGTACCCTAGTCATATTCGAGCGCTAAGGTGGTAAACAAGACCACAAAGATGGTTGACGTAGCTGGAACCAATGCGGGGAGGACAGACCCGAGCAATGGCTCTGCCTCTCCTCCCCCTGCACATCAACAACGGCAAAGCCGACAGGGGGCGCGCGAATTCCATCCCCGGCGAGAAGGTTCGAGTTGACCTACGACGACCTCGTTCGACATGCGCCGCACGCAGGCGCAGTTGAGATGATGCTGAGTTTCTGAGTTTGTTTTAATTGTTACACGGTTGATGGTCCCGTTTAGCCAGTTGCCCGGCAATTTTACACGGCAGATCCTTGGTGTGTGAGCACAGCAGCAGCAACATCAGTGTAGCAGAGGGCAAGGGTTCTTAAGGAACAATTGCACAACGAATAGGTTGTTAGGTTTGGATAATTGGAGGGGCTGACGATGCTGCCCCAGGTGCCTGGCTGTCAGGTACCTCACAGGCTGCTGGGTTTTCGCTGCCAATACGATGCATATTTGACTTTTGGGTTAGATCACGTTTGTCATCATTGCGTGCCCCAACAAATCAATTGTGACGACATGCACCCGAGTCAAACCTGGAGGGATGAACACCTGAGTTAAAGCCCCCCCCCCACACAAACAAGGGTTGGAAAGCGCTGCCTTCTGATTGGGAGCTGCACGCGCCACCCAGAGACCATGCCGTATACCGTGGTGGATGTACCGTGCCCCCTAGATAACGGGGTATTTTTTGTATTCATTGGGAGATCTTAAAAGAAACAAATCGCACTCCCAAAGCTCAACACGTGAACAGCGTGCACAGCAATAACTTCAGCGTGGGGTAAGCCACTTTCTTGAGCTTTTATTTGTGGCCAGGTCGCTTCTGAAAAATAAGATAATAACTCAATGGGCCTTACCCGGTAGGATAAGAAAAATTGTTTAGTTGCATTCGTATATTTGTTTAAAAGTAATTGGTTTACCTTTCCTGTACTCTGAACTCCTGTCGTGTTTTTCTATTGTTTGTTGTTGTAACGTTCTGACCTGCCCCCTACTGGACATCTGTGAAAAAAATTGCTTTATAGCTCATTTGATTCCTCTTAGTTTAAACAAACATTCTGATTCTGCTGCTGCTGCTGCGTTGTTGTCAGCTCAGCCGCACGCCACGCACTCATTACCCCGGAGCATCGGACTGTGTTCCTGAATTCACGTGTGATTGCCTAGTGGTTCCATGGGTGTCATTTGTCTTTACGTTTTATTACCTCTGGAATGTTGATTTTTGAAATGTATACTTTTACAATAAAACGAAAACAATATAAATAACATTGCAAGATGTCAATGGGATCTTTATGGGAATAATGGGGTCTTATTGTTACAATGGTCACAGTAGGTTGCCAAGAATGGTACAGTACGTGATCAAACTAAGCGTATATACTGGAATTGGTAGCAATAAATTCACCAGACACGTTTATAACATTTACGCACTAATTTCTCCACCAAAGAGAACATTTGAACAGCTGGATATTAAACGTGTTATTGGTTAATTGCTGTGATATTCATTGAGCAGTTTGGGCAAAACGGTGTTGGGTAGCAATGGGCTTCCTGAAGATGCCCAGTGGAGGTTCAGATGAATTCTCTGGGAAGTAAATTAAAGCAGTTAATTATAAACCGAGAGTGCACACAACCCCCAAGTGTGTCGCATAGCCAACACCGCTGCGCCATCTCAAAGTTAAGGCCGTGAGCGCACAATAAGGTGTTTGCGACCTTGTTCCAAACCAAAGCACGTTTTGCCACATGTGAAATATGTATTACAAAGAGCCACAGCGATGCTGATAAGGTGGCCATACACCCTTGTTCTTACCGCTAATCTCACACACACAAACGCAACTGGACAACAAAGCCACTGGTAATTGGCGGTGAGAGGCAATGGCATGCGTCGTGTATTTCTAGTTTGTGTTGTACAATAATACGGTCGGCAATGTAGTTTTGTCCGGCTATGAAGTAAACAAACTCAGAAAAATATACTCTTTGGTTCTTTCGGTAAAGTCACGTAGGTATAACATACAATAAATCACGACGTTTCGGGCGCAACACAAGCGTCCATCATCAGGTGGGAAAGCATGGGCTGCTGCTGAGGCAGACTTTTAAAAGGTTTGAAATGGGTGTAGCTCAAGGGTTATAAAGAAGTGGCCGGGGCTAGTGATGTTAATGTGAGAGATTGGCATGCAACTGTAAGATAGGAGAGCGGCCTCCGAGACGAGGGCACGGAAGTGGCGATGTTAATGTGAGAGATTAGCATGATGTTAATGTGAGAAATTAGAGGGCACGGAAGTGGCGATGTTAATGTGAGAGATTAGCATGATGTTAATGTGAGAAATTAGAGGGCACGGAAGTGGCTATGTTAATGTGAGGGATTAGCATGATGTTAATGGGAATCACATCACGGATTTTGTGTACTGTATTGAAACGAACCTGGATCTTGTGTTTGTTTAAGATTTTGGAAATCTTTTTGGTAACCCCTGCTATGTACGGCAAAGTGATGGTTTTGGTTGGATCCTCAGAAGGTTGTCTCCCCATGGCTGGGGAGACAGCTTTGTGGATTGTACGGTCCGAGTATCCGTTCATCCTGACGGCTTGGTGTACGTGTTCCAACTCACTGGCTAGGTGGTGCTGGTCGGAGGTGCAACGGGCCCTATTGTGTAGTGTTTTGATGAGGGAATTCTTCTGGGCTGGATGGTGGTGGGAGTCATGCTATAGATAGGCATCCGTGTGGGTGGCTTTCCTGTAGACCGAATGTCCCAACGAGCCATCAGGTCTCTTCTCGATTTCCAAAATCTTAAACAAACACAAGATCCAGGTTCATTTCAATACAGTACACAAAATCCGTGATTTAATCCCATCTGTAAAGGATGTGATTCCTGACATGCAATACCCTGGTGTCTACAAACTGAGCTGTGGTTGCGGCAGCAGTTACTTTGGGGTAACGAAACGACATGTCTCGGACCGCGTCCGTGAACACAAGGCAAATCTGAAACACGGTAGGACCAATACCTCTGCCGTTGCCTATCATTGTTTTAACACTGTGGGCTCAAACGAAATAGATTTTTCCAAGACGGAGGTACTCTGCAAACCTACCGGC